GTAGTGGTTTTTTGACTCGATCGAACAGAAAAAAATCGCAGGGAGCCATATCGGGTGAATTCAATGGCTGTTGGATGGTATTCGTTTCGTTCTTGGTCAAAAATTCACGGATAATGATGGCACTGTGCGACGGTGCGTTATCATGGTGCAAAATCCACGGGTTGTTTGCCCACAAATCCTTTTTTTTTGGCGAATTGCTTCACGCAAACGTCTCATAACGCCCAAATAATATTCCTTATTAACTGTCTGACCTTCTGGCAAAAATTCGTGATGTACAATACGTTTTAATCCATGAAAACCGTGAGCATCACTTTCTTTTTCGACTGAAAACGACGTGGTTTTTTTGGTCTTGGCTCATTTGGAGCTCTCCATTCACTCGCCTGATGTCTGAATTGCGTGTCGTACTTATAAACCCACGTCTCGTCTCCAGTAATGATGCGTTTGATGATTGTTGGGTCGGATTCAGCCTTGGAAATCATGTCTTTGGCGATGTCAACGCGGTCCCTTTTTTGCATGAAATTCAATTCCTTCGGGACCAACTTTGCAACAACACGGCGCAAACCCAAATCATTAACTACAATGTCCTGAACGGATCCATAAGCAATGTTTAAGTCCTCTGCCAGCTCTCTGATAGTTAATTTCTCTCACTTTATTGATGTTTTCGTCGGTTTTCGATGTCGACGGCCTGCCACTGCGTTCGTCATCCTCGACGGATTCACGACCACTTCTGAAGCGTTCATGCCACTGGTAAACGGTTGTTTTCTTTAGAGCATCACTGCCGAAACAGTTTCCCAACATTTCCAAGGTTTTCGCATCATTAAATTCATTTTTAACGCAAATTTTAATACAAACTCGTTGTTGCAAATTCAACTCCATTTTTAAAACTATAAAAAGTTGAAAACACGTGCAGAGGTACATGTACTCAAGACGGCGTAACTTTTACAAATGTCAAGCTATGGCGATAAAATTTGGTGGAAATGTCAATGATAGATGTGGCAACCTAACCAAAAAAAAAACAGAACTCAAATCAGCTGACTCAGAACATCATCTGGTGATAATTCCGGGAACTTTTTGATCAAGATGGTATGTCAAGGTCAAGGTCATCGGGGCTGGCTCTCCTCATCGACATAATTACCATATTTTTATTTAATCGCGCGTTATTTAAGATTATTTAAAATTTTTTAAATATACATTTTTAAAATATATCTGTCTCTCTCTCTCTCTCTCTCTCTCTCTCTCTCTCTCTCTTTGTATTAAGAGTTTCTTTTTATTTTTTAGATACTAAATATTTTTTGTTGATTAAAGGCTGGCGCTTTCTTATTTTATAATAAATATTTAAAAAGCATATATACATGTTGGATATAGATGTATATGTACACATATATCAATCAATCAAATCTGTTTCACGTTGAATGATGCGGACACATCGAAGGATTAAAAGAGAGCTGAAAAAAATCCAAAGGGAGGTAATAATGTAAAGTGAAAAATTAGCAAAACGAATGAAGCAGCAATTTAAATCCGGTAGGGATGGTCCCGCTATGCTCCGCAATAATTCAACCCTCTGCCTACTACCTTTCTTCCCCTCTTAGAGGACGACATAATTTATCCCCATTTATAATGCAGCTCTGGCTTTTCATTCACTGCTGCCTCTTACAATACGCATTAGGATTATAAGCTTACGTAATCGAATTATGAAACAACTGGAAGTTCAATTTCATCATTGTTACTTTAATGAAATCACAAAAGTGAATGGCAAAAATTAATGACAGCATATGTCTTATACAAATTATTAAATAATTTAATTTATCTTTCTTTTTCTCTCCCTCCCTTCCTCCCTCCCTCCCATTCCCACCCCCTCTCTCTCTCTCTCTCGTTGTTTACAAGATATAGAGGAGACCGGGGCTAGTAGACTCATTTTTCAGTTTCGAATGTTTACAGACGAAGAGACTTATCGAAAAAATGAATTCTATACCAGTTACTACATACATTTGACTATCTAATATTTTAATGATAAGGGGAAACTGATAATTAATATGCATTTTTCTAATGCATTCCATCTGGTTCAACTATATGATACGGGGTAATTTGATTAAGATTATTAAAATGAAGATTAATGTATTTTAAGTTACATCTTTGGCTATATATTAATGAAACTTTTATAAAAATATATTTTAAATACAAACATTCGCTTCGCAGGGCAGAACCATGCTTCTTTTTGTAAATTCGTTCGTTTCGTGCAAAAACACGTCGAATGAGACGTGTGTGAAATTGGCCCCGCACTTTTCGAATTTTGAATTTTTCTCGATTGTGTTGTATTGTGCCACATTGTGCCGCAAACCGCAACTAAATAACATAAACCGTTTTCTAAAAAAAAAATTTATGTGCTGGCCTTAGGAATTTTTTGGAATGAAAAACTTCAAGCCCGTGTAACTTGCGAACGGTGTAAGATAATCGAATTCTGCGAGTTGTGCTGTGTTGTGCCACTCAAGATTTACGAAGCACGCGTATAAAAAGTTGAGATTAACTTAAGGCTCGGTAAAAATTTTTAAAAAAAGTCCGAGCAACCTCCCAGCGGTGTACATCGGATATATATATTAACTTTGAACATTTACAAGGTCAGGAATGGCAGTATGCCTTGTGTAAAAGAAACAAGTCATCTGGTGACACTTTGTCATTTAAAAATGTTGTTTGGTTAGGTTCCATCATAAAAAATTTTTATCAACACCATAGCTAATCCCTATTTTTTATACACGTACTTAGTAGATCTTGAGTAGTACAACACAGCACAACTCGCAGAATTCGATTATCTTACACCGTTCGCAAATTACACGGGCTTGAAGTTTTTCATTCCTAAAAATTTCTAAGGCCAGCATAAATTTTTTTTTAAATGGTTCATGTTATTGAGTTGCTGTTTGCGGCACAATGTGGCACAAATGCAGCACAATACAGCACAATCAAGAAAAATCCAAAATTCGAAAAGTGCAGGGTCATGTTCACACACGTTCGAATGAGCCTAGTTTTATCAAGATTGGACATGAGGGAACTAAATTTATAACATTTACCACTGAGGTAAATTTCTTTAAAGGAATGAAATATTGAGTAAGTGCTATAAGAGTTGTCACTAAGGGCCAATTTATTTCTCATCTCTTTTCAATTCTAAAATTAGAAAGAGACAATGAATAAGTTAAACCTCGGTTAAGAGTTAACCATGAGTTGTGGAATTGGGCCTAAATGAGTCATACAGCCCCATGCTGTGATTAGCCTACTATCCCCATCCGTTCATTTTTTAAAAACATTAATAATATACGATAACAAAGACAGATAAACAAAAAAAATCTGTTGGACTTTATTAAGTAAGAACTACACTTACTATCTAAATAGAAATGAAATATCTCAGACAATCATATACGATTATAAAACAAAAATTTTAAGAATAAAAGTATTTACTTAGGTGTACGATTTTTTAAAATTGTAGCATAACTTTTATCATAGATATGTTCGCAACGAGATATAGCAGAACTGAGGGGCAGTTGCTGCTGCGTGTTCAGACATGTTTACGCGTGTCTCGCGTGTTTTGTTTTTAATGTAGCCTCGTTTATTCTACTCCTATAGTCTACTGACCCTGGTCTCCCCTGCTTCAGGTTATTCAGATTTTATTTTATATAAGCATGATCAAAAGGAAAAAAGTTTTGTGCTTGAAATGAAAAGTATAATAATTTCTCTTCAATTTATTTAACAATATGATTTTAACAAATTTATTTTTTTTGCAAAGGATATTGTCCATTTCAGTCTATCCATATAAATATATACAAACAAAACATTAATTATTTTACTAATGTCCATTTCTACCAATGTAGTATAAATTTGTTTTCGGTTTAACTAACTTTTTATTTTATCTTTTTCTAAGCATAGAAGAATAGAATATTTTAGATAAAAATATAATATATATATTTATATATATATATTAGATAAATAGATAAATATATAAAATAATAAAATATTCTATTATTCTGTTCTTCTATTTCATAAATAGAAAATTTCTCACGCAATTACTGTCACGATGAGAAGATACTTTGAACATAAAGAGAACTCGATAGTACCCACTTCCCAAATTTTTGCTTTGTTCAATTCTTTTTAAGGGTTATATATGAAATTTTTTGTTCTTCTATACGCGAAAAGAACAATTTTGCTAAAGTATCTAAAAATTTAGGTAGATATACAGATCTGAAAATAATTTTGTCGGACCATTAAAATAATTATATACGTAGAATGTTCAAACTAGTTATTATAGAACGTCGAAATTTTTGCAACATTACTCATTATGTTTGAATAAATCCAACGTAATTATTTTGATGGCCCAACAAAATTATTTTCAGATCTGTGTCTAACTACATTTTTAGAATCTTAGTGAAACCGTCCTTTCCGTGCACAGATTTTTTACTTTGAGATACATATGTTTTTTTATTGTTTGCTAATAATAGCTTATTCTGATGCCACAGAAGTATCAAAGATGAGATTTATTTAAAATAAAGATTTCCTGTAAAAAAATTTAGCTGGAAGCTATTGATTTAGCTATTTCGGTTATGAGGAATTATATGTGATTTATATCTAGATATATTATTGATACTCTTAAAGAATATCAAGTGAGAGATATACTTAGCAATGCTGCAATATGATATTTGGAACAAGAATTCTTCGATATCATGATGGTATCTTTTGATAACTATGATTGCCGCTCTATGAAGTCGCTCTTGCGAATGGATTGATTCGTAAAAGCTTTTTTTTGGATGCTAGTCGAAAAAAGTATTGAGTGAGCGAAGGTGAGCGTTTGAAGGAAAAGGATAGAAAAGAGATGGAAGGGGAAATGGAAGGGAGCGGAAAAATTCACGGTCGGTCATGCACGCGAAGTTAAATCGGCAACGAAAAATTTGTGCCCGTGTTTGTGCCTGGGCATGGTTAAGTGAACGCCCTCGTTGTTCGTAGAGAGGGATGGGGAAAACACGAGGCAAAACGACCCATCGACAAATTACGTGCAGTGGTGGATTTACAATCTTTCATTGCTGTTTTCTATGAAACATTGCATTTCCATTTAGCAGAACAACTTAGGTTTGCATTCCATTGCTGTTTTTATGAGCCGGTTAGCTGACTCATTAAATAATATTTAAGAATGATCGGAAGTAAGAAAATATTACATTGCTTTTTTATGCATATGCTTGTGCTAATTATTGTATGTTGAGATCGACTTATCATAATTTGAAATTTAGTCAAAATTTATATAAATCTTGCTTCTAATAATTTTCTTTTTAAATTAAAAACAGAAAATATTTTCAAACTAGCCATATTATTATAAAAAATATCTAAATTGCGTGGCAATATTTAATAAGAATAGGTTTTATACATGTTATACGAGTACATTCTAAAATTCAACAAAGCGTAGTAATTGAAAAATAATTATAGGTTATTGCGAGATATTGTATATGCGACATGAATCTATTATTGGAATTCTTCGGAGGTAAATTCTATTGAAGCTGCTCGTTCAATGTGCTAATTAGCGACGACAAATCAGCCGAAAGGCTGATTAATTGATCAAAGGACTCTTTTAAGACACGTAGACAAGTTTTTCGATAGTTTAGATGAACCAACTAGGAAGTTAAACTATCTCAAGAACGATCCATGTTCGCGGATTCTCACAGGACTGTTAAGAGTAGGTAAGAAGAGGCACAGTAATAGACTTCTTTGAGTTCTTGAAAATGTGAACGCTCGACTTTTGTTTTTTTTATTCTCAACTTTGAATTGCA